TCTCATTAAGTGGGGGCCTCTCCAAGTCACTGTGATGATCCTGGCTCAAGAGAGAAATAACGCATGGAGAAGCAGGAAATATTAGTATCAGAGTGGGTGGGGGCGGGGGCCTTGGGGAAGTTGGAAAGCACTGTCCTGGGCTGCACTTCTCCCTGGGAGGTGTGCGTGGTGACCCCTCCCCTTTCTAGGCCTCTGTTTTCAAGCCTACACAAAGAGGGAGTTAGACTAGAAGACTTCCTGTCTTCCAGGAGCCAAAGGCCACGTGTGCCCTGTGCTAGACAAGGGCGTCTCCTGGAGCCACTTGGTGGGGGGGAGGCCACCTCACACTTCCTGGCCACGGGAACTCGGAGTGCAGTGCAGGATGCCTCCTCTCCCCACTCTCTGCCCTGGGAACAGCGGCTCCTGGAGAAGCCTGGAGCTTCTCCCTGGAGAAGCCAGACTGGCATTTTAAGTCCCTCTCTTCCTGGCTCTGACACATGTATGAGCAGCAGAAGGTCAGATATATGCAAAACATAGAAGCCGCTGTGGGCACTGTGAGGAGCATTTAGCTGCCATAGACAGGCTTCTAGCTGCCAAGATCGCCTCGAGGTTATTTTACACAGAGCTGAGATCTTGAGACTAACTCCAGAACAAGAGCTGACTGTGGACTGAGGAACAATTAGCCAGCTAGATGGTTATCTTTTCAATGGGCCTTCTGCCTCTTTAACCCCTGATTCCATTATCTACAAGTTATGTGTCACTGGAATCAACAGTTTAAAGGCTGGACATCTTTAGATTCCAGCCGAGAACAGACATTAGAATATAAACAAACCCTTAGATGGGGGGGGGGAGATCCCTCTCATTACAAGTTCGATGGTAGCTGGCCTCATCGAAGAAACCCTTCTAACATGTTCCTCCTAACTCAGAAAGCCAGGATGCTGCGTAGCATTGGAAAAGCACTAAGAGGTCCATTTCCAACACCACAAGTGAACTCCAAGGTCATGCACTCCACTTTAGTATCAGCGTGAAGAAACAGGCTAAGGCCAAGTCTGGGCTTAGCGCAAAAGACATTGGTCAGCAACATCTGTCCAGGCCTGGGCCGGGAAGCGGCATTATGACACGCATTTGCCCTTCTCCCTGCTCACCATCACAGATAGGAAATCCAAGGCCCAGAGAGGTTAAACCACTTTCTTGAGGTCACACTGTGAGTTTAGGGCAGAAGACAGAATTAGAAGCCGAGCCTCCCTTCTTAAGTCTCCCTCAGTGGGACAGCTTGGGATGATTGCAGAGACACCAGTTCCCTCCTCGGGGGAATCAGATTTCATCTGGGCAAGCACACAGAAAAGTGACTGGCTACCTAAACAATGGCAGCCCTTAGCGAAAAATTAAAGAAATCATCACAGGTTACATTTCCATGGTACTTAACTTTCTGACGGGCAAGGCCCTGCTACCAGGAAGACTGAAATAAAGAGGCAACAAGTATTGATTTCTGGATGCTCTAAGAATAAAGTTCAGCAATGACACATGAGAAAAACTACTGATACTTGAAAATTAAAGTCATTGGTATTCCATTATCCCACCAACTTCTATTCTGCAGACGCCGTTATCCAATGAAGTCATTTCTCACTGCGGATTGTGGCTCGGCAAAGGGGAGGGGCTGCCCCGAGTTTCCTAATGTGGGTCTTTAATAACCAGTTCCCAAGCCTGGAATATGAAACAGACCCTAGAATTAAACCAATATGTTGAGCAGATAGCAATGAGAGAGAACCCCAAATTTAAAAAAAGACAGCTTCAGGGCTGGCTTTTGTTGCTTGGTTTTGTAGCTTTCTGAGAAACCAGCTGTCTGGAGAGAGAAATGCTAAAATCCCAGAAGCGTTATGTGTCCTTTATAAATCAGATGCCCTACTCAGCTCTGGAGGAAAACCCACGGTAAGCCAGCATGGCAGTTAGGGAGGCTTACATTTTAGCAATGCCAAAACCTCCTAACTGGAAACTCTTTATTCTTCAATCCACTGGCAAAAATCAAAGAGTTAAAGGACTGCTCAAATGGTGGGGGAAAAAGTTCTCTCAAACCACAAGAACATATTTTTCATTTGGATGAAGTCCTGTCAGGACTCCCTCCTGAGCCTCTGCAGTTATTTCTACCAGAAAGCTCAAGGAAGGCTCTGCAATAAACCTCAGGAGTTAGGAGAGTGCAAGGCTGAGCTCAGACCTGGTCAGCCCTGTCCAAAGACAACAACTTCCCAGACAGCAGCCTGTCGTGGTAAATGCATGTTGCAGGACACTGGGCTGAGGGATGGAACAACACTACTCCGGGAAGCCAGCTCTCCTCCTTCAAGGCCAGCTGACATTCAAACAAGGCACCAGGGGCCAAGCCCAGGGCTCTGCATCTGTGCAAGAGTGGAACAAAAAGGGCTGTGTGGAAATTTGGCAGGATGCTCCTGAGAGGCAGCAGATGAATGCTGAATCCTGCAGCACCTAGAAGAGCTCATCAATGGGGAAACAACTCCCTTCTGCTACTCCCAGTAAGCAAAGAGGTTTTCTTTAAAGCTAGGACAATCCGTTGATAGAACCCGGCTACACACGCACACACACACACACACACACTTTGCCATTCCACCCCCCCCCATGCTATTCCAGAGAAAAAGAAGTGAATAAGAACTAGACCTATGCAGATGAGCCTCTCTGCCCATTTCAGCTAGAGGCTCCAAGCCACACCCAGCTGTTGCTCCCTTCTCCCTCGGCCCAAAAGGCTGCCTTATCCCATCAGTACCCTCTTGCAAAAGTGAGTGATTTATCTCGAAAGCTCAGGCCAAACTGGCAGTTAACCTTGACCTTCTCTCTACACATCTGGGTCTATAGAAAATGAAAAGCAGGACAACTCTGGCATCTACTGCAAATGAAATACGAGGGCTTTCTCCAGGCAGAGGCAGAATGTCAAGAGCTGTTTTAGAACTGGTGATGGCCATTCCAAAGGAGAGTTTGCACTTGGCTGGGTCACTCCCCTTTGGGCTGAGGTTGTGTCCGGGATGGCACCCCCCAAACTAGGGATGCTATCAGGGACTCCAGAGTCAGGAAAAGGGAAAATAAATAAATAAATAAATACAATAAAAGCGGCTCCCTGTGCTCCTCACTGATATCACTGATAGTATCACAGAATGCTGATACTGGACCAATATTCACATTCCAAAGATGGAGGAAGTAAGACTCAGAGGGGGAGACTGGTGATAATCAAGGACACAGACAGTAATTTCCGGCAGAGCTAAGGATAGAACCTGCTGACCCTTACACTGGTTCAGGGTAGAAACAGAAGAAAGAAGTTCTGTGAAGGGAAAACCCACCAGACACAGCATTTAAGGGAGAGAGGTCTAAGTCAGCAGTCAGTTTGCAGCAAGAATTTAGGAAAGGAGTTGGGCCCTTTGTTTCTAAACAGTAGGATCTTCTGTCTCGATTGGAAAGATCAACCAGACCTTGTGGGATGGTTTACAATTATTCCTGGAGTGGCAGGCTGACCTCTAGTAGATCAGCCCTGTAGCAAAGAGCCTCAAGACACCAGAACATCCAGACAGCAGTCTGATAGAGAGAAGAGAAAGAAGAACCATCCACCCCAAAAGTCAGCCTCTGCTCTGCTCAGGCCAGCCAACCATCAGGATCAGTCAAGTTGGACCCTCCCACAAAAATTACCCACTTCCCACGGGATCAAGAAAAGCCCAAAATGCCCCCTGTATGAAACAGTAGGTAGGCTTGCATATGCTTGCCAGGAGCTGCGAGAGTCTGAGTAACAGGACCGGGCTCTGCTATTAGGAAGCTGCAAGTCTAACCATAAGCGCGTGAGCGCGCGCGCGCGCGCGCGCGCGCGCGTGTACACACACACACACACACACACACACACACACACACACGTCAGTTCAGCAAAGGCACCAACCATTAAGATCCCAGTTTTGGCTACAAGAAGTACAACATCTCATCAGTTCAGAAGAGTCAAGGGAGGCGTCTGGTGTTACATCCTCAGGGCACTGGACACCAGTAGCTCTGGGACATGTTGGGGATTCCTCTACCTCAGCCACAGGCTCCACCAGCTGGACGCCCAGAGGGTCAAGGGTGGTAAACTCCTCAGGGTCCAGCAGCTCAGCCTTAACCCACCTCCAGGAGCCTGAAGCTTCTGGGGTGGGGGAGGAGTGATGGTGAGCATGATCATGACATCCCAAGGAATGTACAGGACCTGAGCAAATGACGGCAAAAGAGCTGGGAGACGCAGGTGTCCCTGTGCACACAGAAAAAAAGGAAAGGTGGGGAGAAACACCAGGATCAGCAGGTGGGGGAGCTGGGGGAAGAAGCGCCAGCATCTTCAGCCGCTCCCTCCAGCAGAAGGAATCATCCTGGGAAGTGGTCAGAGAATATCAGAGGGCGCCAAGAAACAAAAAGAAAGGTAAGCCATGATAAGAAACAGAGCTCCGAATTGGGCAACCAGAATCCTGCGTTCTAGTTTTGGCTCTGTCTCGGACAGGAATTAAGCCTCAACGTTTCCAATCCGCTAAATGGGAAAAGCAGATTCTTTGGCGCTGCCTCTGATGACACAGGAGAAGTAGAGGAAAGATCCGGAGGAGGGGTCCCAGTCCCACACAACCGAGGCGCTCACCTGTCCGGCCACGGGCTCCGCCGCCGCCCCGGCTCCCCCAGGGGTGCCGTCGGGCTGCCGCTCGCGGTACAGAGCCCAGAGCCCCACGTTAGGCAGGAGGACCAGGGCCGCCAGCACCAGCGCCGCCGCCTGCAGGAGCCGCTTCTCCTTCCGCCTCATCGGGGCCGGTCAGCCCCGCCGCGCCCCGCCGGCCCCGCCGCGCTGCCCCCAGCTCCGCGCGTCCGCCCGTCCGCCCGGCGGCGGCAGCAGCTCGGCGAGCAGTAGCGGCCGCGGCGCCGGCCCCGCTCCAACTCCTCGGCACTTCCGCCGCTCACCGGCCGGGGAGCCGGGCGCCGCCACCGCGCCGCCGCCGCGGGGGGGACTCTGCCGCAGCCGCCGCCCCTGGCCCTGCTGCGCTGCACGCCCCGCGCCGCCCTCCCCCGAAACCGCGGCCGGGCTCCGGGAGCCCCCGGTCTGGGTCTTCTCGCGGTGAGTCCTTGTCCTCCCGGGCGCCGCGGGATGCTGTGCCGCGCCGTCTCCCCCTCTGGGGCCGCGATGGTGCGTCCCGCTCCTCGGCGGCTCCCCCGCCCGCCGGAGCTTTGCGAAAGTCCCGGAGTTGGGGAGTTGGGTGCTAACTGGTGCGGGCGGCGCGCCGGGGAGCTGGGAGCTGGTGTACGCCAGCCGGACGCCCTGGGACCCCAGCGTCCGGCCCGGCCACCTCTGACGCGGACTGCTGCTGAGAGTTTTCGACCTCCCGGGGATGTGCAGATGATGGGCGAGCTCGGCCAGGAGCTCAGAGCCTGCACCCCGGGAGTAGGGGCTCCCCACTCGCTCCCTCCCCCCGGGACCTGCAGATCTCCCGCTTTGACCCCTGTACTCTCAGCCGGAAAATGGGGCCACAGCTGTGCTCCCTGCACACTGTTCCACTGGCGGGGCCCGCCTTTCTTCCTTCCCGAGACCTAGGACGTTAGGTGTGAACGCCCTCTGTAAACTGGAGAGTGCCGCCTGTCTGCTGTCCCTGCAAACCCACGTGGAGGTGACAGACCCTCTCCGCGGGACCTTTTCTCGCGCCAGCCCAGCCCCCTGCGTCCGAATGTTTTCCTGACGGACGCAGCGCTCGGAGTCTGTGCCCCGCAGCCCCTGGACTTTTTCTCTCTCCCGTGCGGCCACTCAGCAGACCATCAGCCTAACACGACCCGGCGCCCCGCTCCGGAGGAAGTGAAGGCAGACCCAGGCTTGCCAGCTGGGAGCTGAAACATTAGGCACGTGATCCGCCAGACGAGGTAACGCGCGTAAAATCGGGGTTCCTGGGCGCGGTGTGGGCCACTGCCACGGAGAAGGCGACGTCTTCCCCTGGAGCGCGCAGAGCTCCTCGCTTGACTGCCTCCTCCCTGTTGCACGGGAACCCGAAGCTCGAATTCGCTGCCCTCCTCGCTGCCACTCCCCCACTGGCGCCCTGCTTATTCTCTGCTTTTCCCGCCCAGGCACAGACCTCAGTGGGTAGTCACTCCCTGCCCCCAGCCGGCGAGCTGAGGTCTCTTGCTCCCAGTTCTGCCGGCCCCAGGCTGAGTGGTGAGTGCTCCGTTTTCTGGAACTGTCATCTTTTGCAAGCTTTCAAGCTGAGCTCCAGGTCCAGTTCAAGGCTGATGAGACCTGTGCCCCTCGCCGCCCTCTCCTGCCTTCTGTCCGCCTGCCCAGTGGCTGACACTGTGTTTTCCTTTAGGTTGGCCACGCAGATCCTTCCCCGCAGCAAACCGTCTCCTCTTCATCTAATTCTAGAAGGCTTTTTCACCCTCCAGGTCTTGTTGAATTGCCACCCCCTTCACAAGATCCTTAAAAATCCTCCTCAGGAGTTGCTTGCTTGCTTTGGATTTCTATCCAAGTAGTGTTTAGCCAGCCCTTCAAATCCCGGTGCCTACTCAACTCTCTCCAGTGGCTTCTGACCTGCCACCGGTTCCCTACAAGGAACCACTGGATTCTGCATTGACAGATATGCTCAGTCCTGATCCCTTCCTCTCTCAGCAGGCTAGACCCGTTCTCCCTTGCTTCCACCTAGAATTCCAATTCTATTTTTAGGTTCTAGCCTTATGCCTTAAAAAAAAATGATTTTACTGTGTTAACATATACATAAATCTGAACGTTCTACGCATCTGTAAGTGTTGGTCTCATAGCATTAAGTACATTCTCGTTCTTATGCACACCAACCACACCTTTCTCCTCCTCCCAAACTGAAATTCCATATCCACTAAACACCAACTCCTCATTCCTGCCCTCCTCCAACTGCTGGCATCCACGGTTATTTTTTGCTTGGTGAATTTGACCTATTCCAGGTATCTCATGTAAGTGGAACTGTATGTTCGCTCTTTTGTGCCTGGCTTATTTTACTTATAATAGTTTCAGAATTCATCCGTGTTGTAGCATGGATCAGAACACCACTCCCTTTTAAGACTGTATGATACTCCATTATATGTATACACCATGCTTTGTTTATCCTTCCTTCCACGGGCATTTGGGTTGTTTCTAGCTTTTGGCCATTGTGAGTAATTTTGCTGTGAATAGCCTGTGTCTTTCATATGCAGCAGTAGATCTACAGTATTTATGTAATTAGGTAATACTGCAAAATTCTTTTCTGGGCTTCATGACCCTGAGCACAATGCCAATAAACAGAGTGACTGGAATGATCCTTTTGTAAACCAAGGTTCACTGCCCTGCTCTTGCTCATTTATGGTTTCCCAGCACATTAAAATAATCTAGCAAAGTCCTTACTACAGCCTTCGAGGCCTGCATGATCAGACCTGACTTCTAGCTTTTGCCTTTGCTCTTTGCCTTCTGTCACAATGGTCTTGCTGTATCCCTCAAATACGTACAAGTTAATGCTTACCTCAGGGCCTTTGCAAATTTCATGTGCTCTATACAGAAACTTCAAACCTTTGCCTGGTTCTCTCCGTTCTCTCAGGAATCACATCAGAGGTTCTGTCTCGGAGAGAACTATCCTGGTCACCTGACCAGAAGGGCACACACACACACACACACACACACACACACACACACCGTCATTTCCACTTGCTTGATTTTCCTTTGGAGCAGGTTTGGTTTGAGTCTCCCTCTATGATACAGGTTCCAAGCAAGCAGCCACTTGGTATTTCCTCATACCCGCTCCCTCTGTCAGCACGTACTTCTTTTTCTTGTTAATCAGAAACTGGCATTCCTACCAATCAGGGGAATTTGCAAAAGAGATTGCCTTTCCCTGAGCCAAAGAGCTGAGGCACAGGATTTCAGTTCATAGTCTTCTTAGACATATGTAGCTAGACTGTGGATCCTCCCAAGCATGGCAATACAGTAGGTGCTCAGTGATTACTGGTTGAGTCACAGAGAGCAATTAAGGTCATGACAGGAGGGGAACTATTCAGAGTCTCTGTCTTTCCCACCCCCTCTTGCAGCTCCCTGGAGGATTCTGCAGGAAATTGGATTTGAGCTTTTTCTCCTGTCTTACCATAGTCACTTGTGGATCAAAGCAGCCAGGCTGCCCCCAGTGGGGACTCTATCCAGAGAACCCAGCTTTAATCCTAGGACTCTTTGATCACCGTCTACAATGTGGGCTGCACCAGGCAGGGAGAGGGCTCCTGGGGCTTTATCCTACTCACAGAGACAATGCCATTTCCTGAGAAAAGCTGAGCTGGTCGCTGAAATTGAACAAGCAATGTTGCTTTCAGACTGTGCCTTCCTGCCAGGGCTGTTTGGGGCGTTAAATGAGATAATGTACTTAAAGGGCTGACTGCGGTGCCTGGTCTAATGGAAGCGCTAGTGACAGCGGGTGAAGTGAAAGCTCCATACCAGATGGAAGCCGAAGATGGATGAGCAGCATTTCAGCTACAGGGCAGACCCTCTGCTCTGACCTGCACCTCTCTGATCTAACCCATCACTGTCCTCATTCATTCCACACCAGCCCCAGACACCTTTCTCCTAGTCCTCGCGTGCCCTCTGCTCACCCCAGCCCTGAGACCTTTATGCTGGCTGTTGCTGCTGCCGGCGGTTTCCCCAGCTCTCCCTCCTATTGCTGACTCCTGCTCATCCTGCAGGTCTCTGACGGTCATTTCTTCACAGGGTCCCTTTTAAAAGCAAGCGCTCCATGCTCTCTAACTTCCTACGTTTTCTTCATTGTGCATGTCCCTTTTCCTTGCCATAGTCTAATCTGTGTGCTGATTTACTTGTTCACGATTGGGCTTCTCCAAATAGATTCTCAGCTGCGCTGGGCAGCTGTCTTGTCTGCTCATTCCCCGCCGTAGCCTTACGTTGTGGAACATTTGTGCCTGATACATGCAAAAGGATGAAAATGTGTATTTGATGAATGGCAAGTATCTCTTCTCTTCTCTGTATTTTTCTGTCCTTTTTTTTTTTCAAGCTGCATAATCTCTGCCTCACCCTTCAGTTTTCCATCTTGTCATTGACCACAAGAAGGGTCAACCAGAAGAGAAGTGACAGGAACAACACTTCAGCTTTCCTGATGAGGATATAAAACCTTTCCTGTTGGAAGTCCACCTTGGTTTCTTAGGGGCTCTTGTGGCTGGCCTCCTCTGTCAAGAACTGTACTTGTGGGCATGTCTAGCCAAACCCTGAGCTGAGCAGTGTGAGGGTAAGTGCATCAGCCATTCCGAAGCTTTCCATGTTACTCTATTTTAATGTTTTTAACCTTGGCCAAGCCTTTAGCAGCTCTGAGCTTCCATTTTCTTATCTGCAGAGTAAGAACGATTCCAGTGCTGTAGTTTCCAAGCTGGAGAGAAAGAGGTTGCCTTGAGCAAAACCAAAACCTGAAAAGCTGTATGTATTGGCTTTCTGTGTCTCCTGCCAGCCTGATTCTTCCTCTTTCTCCTGTCTTCAGGGATCACCACGCACAGCTGACACTTTCTCAAAGAAGCCTGATCTCCTTGAGCAGAACAAGCTCCTCGTTTTATGACCTCTTAGCAATACCTTAGAATACCTTTCCTTACGGTACAGTACTTACTGTATTTACAGTTGCTAGGTTATTGATGGAGATCACTGGGCTACAAGTCCCATGAAGACATAAACTATGTGTAGTTCTTGGTACTTTTTGATCTTTTTTCATAGACTTTATTTTTTAGAAGCAATCTTCAAGTTATGGCCCAGTTGAGCAGAAGGCACTGAGTACTGACCTCTGTCCTGCACATGCACAGCCTCTCCCACTGCCAGCAACCCTTAGCAGAGGGGTACATTGTGAAACTGATGGATCTGCATTGACACATGGTTATCGCCCAAAGGCCATTGTCTGCCTTAGGTTCCACTCTTGATGGAAGTTGTGTAGCTCAGACAGATGCACCCAATGTTACAGAATTATACGGATTAGTTTCGCTGCCTGAAAAACCTTTTGTGCTCCACCTGTTTACCCCTCCTCCCTCCAGCTCATCTTTTTACTGTCTCCATAGTTTGCTCTTTACAGAACGACCTATAGTATGCGGCCTCTTCAGATTGGCTTCTCTCACTTAGCAATGTGTACATCAGCTCTTCAGTGTCCACATCCGTGTGTGTATGTGTGTGTGTGTGTGTGTGTGTGTGTGTGTGTAGTGTTGGGGTCCAACTCAGGGCTTCTGCCACCAAACTATACCACTCAGTCCCTTCTATGTATTTCCCTGGTTTTATAACTTATTTCTTTTTACTGCTGAGCAATGTTGTTTTGTCTAGATGTGCTACAGTTTATCCATTCACCTACTAAAGAATACCTTGGTTATTTCCAAGTGAGGTAATCACCTAAGAGCTCAATTAGTTAATATGGTGGGGTATTTTTTTTTTTTTTTGCAAAACTGCAAAAATTGCCAAAGTATAAAGTATGAAGTGTAAAATGCCTCATTTTGTACTCCTATCAATAGTGAATGATAGAAAAATTGTGGATCTGAAATTTCAGTACCTCCATTTATCAACCTTAATGAGTCCGGACTTTGTCCCTAATTTCTTGTATGACCCTAGAAGTCACTCAGATTGTCTGAGTCACAGATTTAGTGTGTACAGGTCCATAAATGTATATGCTAGCAGGAATTGGAGATGTACCACTAACTGTGGTTTCATTTAATAAAGCATTTGTATCACATGCGCTCTGAAGTCTTTTTCAATTCTACAGTTCTGCCAAAGGGACTGGGGAAGATAGGCAGTTGTCGAATACCACTCGAGGAGGTTCAATCTACTGTCTGCATTTCAGCTCCTAGTTTGAGTAATAATACAGTTTCCAGGAGGTCTGTCTGAAATGACCTCTAGATAGGAAACTGCCTGTCTCCCTTTTGGAAATGCCAATTAAGCCAACCAATTCCGCCAACCGTAAAGGAATTCTATTGAATCAAGGCAGTGAATGTGGAAGATGTCTCATGTAGCATAACTTTAGAAAGGGCAGAAGAGAAGGCTACAATCTCAAAGTAGAAATAGATCATGTCATTGGGTGGGTGCATCTCAGACAAAGCATCCACTGGTAGGTCAGATGCAGATGCTAGGTGCGTAGGGAGCCTTCCTCCTGGCACTGTCATGAGGAGATCAGAGCTTGGGGAATGAGGGCATTATTTCCTGTTTAATTCCTTACCTGTGTGGGTTAGCTTTTCACCTCTGTGACTAAATGCCAAATGTAGTGACAAAGAGGAGACTAAACACCAAGAATGATGCCAAAGGAGGAAAGGCTGTTTTGGCCTACAGTGTCAGAGGTTTCAATTGGTCATCAGCTGGATCCACTGCTTTAGGCCTGTGGCAAGACACAAGCACAAGCCAGGATCTGGGAAGTGGGAAGCTGCTTGTTCCTGGCAGCCAAAAAACCAAAAAGGTGAGTGAGCCAGAGAGGAAGGAGTCAGGGAACAGATGTAGTCCTTAGGGTTCCACTCCTATGATGCACACCCTTCTCTTTTTATAACCTCCCAGTATCAAATTATGATACAGTCACCTTCCAAAGCCCATCCTCTGAACACAAGAGTAGGGAGGGGTTAGATCTAAACTAGAGCATCTTTATTTTTGTACAAAACACTGAAAGGTAGTGAGATGTAGGACACAGTGTCTCCTTTCCATGCACATCTCCATAAAATACAGATTGACTACTCTAACCCAGGGTTCCCAACCTAGTTAGTCGATTACAGAGTTGCCTGGAAACCTTTACACATTCTGGTGGCTCTGCAGGGACCCAGACCGATCAGTCAGAATCTCTGGGAGTAGACTAGGCTGTCCCTCAGTGCCTCCTCGGTGTTGCCAAGTTTGAGAATCACTGCTCACTGGCTTCCGGGGTTCTCAAACCCTGCAAAGCTTTTTCATCCACTTAGTAGGTCAGCTGGTGTTCCACTAGGTGGCACCTTCCAGCACACTTCAGTGCATCCAGAGAGGGCTTGTCTAGGTCTAACTGCAAGGAATGACTCCATAAAGCAAGATCTAGAGTCTTTGCTGACGAGGAGTCTGTGGTCTGGATGAGGATACTGAAGCTTGTCCGCTAACAGATTGTGAGCAAGGGCTGGAGTACAGAATGCTGAGATTCCTTGCTGTTGGGAGACAGCCTGGAGAGGAGGCAGCGGGGTTCTGACTCATGGCTCACACTCACCCAAGCATTCTGGGCTCTTGCTTCCCAACCTATCCCGCAGGAACCTCGAAACCCATCTCAAAAGCACCCTTTACTGTATTTAAAACACCCTGATTGTCTTAGGGACTTACACTTCTTCATCTCAGCCAGGAAGCTGGGTTAGAACTGACCCCTCCCTCAATTGCTGGTTCAGCCAATTAGAGCACAGTATCCGCTTCCACAACAGTGATTGGCCCAGCGTTGAGTACCCGCTCTCTGGAAGTCCAGTCTGCAATGAGGTGGTTTCTGTGGTTTTAAAATGTAGAGTCCACCAAGGAGACTGTGGAACCTCCGCCATGATATGAGCCCCTCTCTGAGGAGTATACCAGACATCCTGCCTTTGCTGCTATTCTCTTTTCAAAGAAGTGATATTTGACCTATGGACCTTTTTGTCTGTACTTTTATGTTGGGTTTAACTCTGCCAAGGCAGGATTTCAGGTAGGAGGAGAAGATCTGCTTCAGGGCTTCTTTCCCCAGCATTCTTACTGGGACTTGATTACTAAGGGCCACAGCTCCTGCCATGCAACCTTTTGGGAGACAACCCTCCCTCTTGGGGTTCTTCCCTTCCTTGAGTAGACCTGGGGCCAGGCAGTACACGTTGTCTCTAGACCCAGGACATTGTACTGTCGCTGTGGTCATCCCGTAGCCTGTCCCATGGTTCTGGCAAACCGTTCTCAAGTTTTCCAGCATGAGTGTCATCCGTTTCCTGCCAAGACCCTAACTTCGTCAAGGTGAAGCTTCCTGAGACCATCACTACAGCGGGAAATGAGCTGAGAGATCACCCAGTTCCCCAAGCCAAGCCCTGATGTCATCCGCGCTTCTACTTTGACTGACCTCCCACACTGAAACAATTACCTAATAACGCTGCTTTTATTGCCTAATAAATTTTAAACATATTCCTTCCCCTCTAGGCCTACTTCATGGAATGTATTTCAAATGCCTGCAAGAATCCTTTAGCAGATCCTGGTACATCAAATGGCTAAGTTCTCTACCTTAGGGACCACTTCCACCCTGTCTAAGGTCCTTGACCTGTAACTTATCTGACTCGATTCCAAAGGATGAGCTGAGCCACTCAGACTTTCTCAGCAATGGGAAGGGAAGAAGGCAGCAGTGTCCACATGTCATCTCTCTGAGTCCTCACCAAAAGCCTGTGAGTAGGATCTAGTATTATTTCCAGTGTTCAGAAAAGGAAACTGAACTATGCCAGTCCTTACACTGAGTTCTTTATGTGCATCACCTTGCTGATTCATTGAGTCGTAGATTCAAAGGATGCTCATTAAGAACCTACTGAGCATCAAACTACCACACACCAGGCACTATAGCAGATGCTAGGGATTTGGTGGTGGACAAACAGATGGACGGCAGTCTCAGAGGGCTGCTAGTCTGGTGATGGAAAGGGCATTGTAAAAGTGAACACATGAATAACAATTGTTTTAGGAGGAAGGAGAGAAATCTGCACAGCTGTTTTGGGCAGATCTAGTATGTGAACCCAATGCTGTTCCAGTCAAATTCAATAGTCAGTGAAGTTCCATGATTAGGACTTCCCTAGACTGTTCTAGTGAGGTGCTGGGTTTGTCAGTGACATTGTCAGCAGCCCTGCTTGTCCCTGGGGCAGGTTCCTGCCACTTACTGAATATGCAAATGCATGCACACACGTGTACAATCAGAAAGGAGAGATGTCCCATGTCCTTCCCTACAGGGCTTGCCAGTGAAGGCCAGTGCAGTAGGTTTTGAAAGTGCTATTCTGTGGGGCTGGGGATTTAGCTCAGTGGCATAAGAACCTGCCTTGCAAGCAGGTGGTCATGAGTTCGATCCCCAGTACCATTAAAAAAGAAAGTGCTATTTTCAGTTGTGGAATTCTAGTTTGAAGATCACTTTTGCTCTTATTACTTGTTATGGCTTAGATCTAGAATGGCCTTCAAAACTCTCAGGTGCTCAGAGACAGGTTTTTTGAACAGTGATTAGATCATAGGCCACTATATTTGCCAGTGGACTCATCCATTAAAGAGCTCACAGCTGTTTGTGCTGTCAGGAGGTCCTAATTAGAGGTGGGGCTCTGGGCCAGTGACCTGGAAGGGTACACCTCCTTTCCAGCTCCTCCTTCACTGTCTGCTTCCTGGATGCCATGATGAGAGCAGCTTTCCTCCACCAGACCCTTCCGCCAGGCCCTTCCTGCCTCAGAGCCAGCTGACTATGGACTGAATCCTCTAAAATCTGTGAGCCGAAATATACCTCTCCTCCCTTAAATTGTAGGTGTCAAGTATGGTGTCTCAGTAACAAGGAAAGTCACTATGTGATTAATCCTGGAGATTACTACATTTAAATGCAGAAAAATTGCCTTTTTTTTCCAAATGCAAAATACTCTATGATGCTGTTGAATCTCATATGAATGGACACTTGGAGTTATTATCAGTCTTGGTGCCATTGACACCATAATGAATATGTCTGTGCACATCTTGTTCTATAGTGTGACGGGGATTTTCAGCAGAGATTCCTAGATGTTCAAAGTGCTGGATCAAAGGATAAACACAGCTTTAGTTGTGAAAGTTTTTGCCAAATTTTTTGACTGTAGGAATGAAATTCTTTTACATCCCTACCAGCAGTGGAGGAGAGTACTTCGTTCTTTAGAGTCTACACCCACAAAATATTTTTAAAGCATTTATTTTTTAGCAAAATCTACATTCCCAACTTGCTTTAAACATTGCAAGATCTAGGCAACTCTGGGCCCATTTTCTGCATGGCCAATACAGGCTGGGGCTTAGGGTCACTGGTAACTGGGGTGAATAGTCACTACAGTCCCATGGATTTTAGAGGTTTCATCCTATGTTATGAAGATGAGGAGACTCCACAAGTTCATAAAGGATGCCAAGTGGGAGCAGAACCCAACTGCCTCTCAGTCTACTCCACCATGGGGCTTCCAAAATAAGTACAAAGGGACTGATAACAAGGTAAGTATGCAAAAGCCCTACAATTCAGCATTAAAATTGAGTTGTTTTCAGCATTTACTTAACTCACTATATACATTACACCACCGCCTCGTTGATTAAACTGTGACTAATACACACAGAGCAGAGTGACAAATTGGTTTCTATTTCTCCTGAGCAACCCAGACAGCAGGCTAGAGTCACAACAGAGTGAATGTGCTCATTCATTTCCCTCATTCATCAAACCCAACTGAACGCTAGGCCTTGATCTAGGCACTAGGGTTTCAAAGATGAACAAACATTTGACCAGCCAGGGATCTGAAGACACAAAACTTCCCACACTGTTCTAATTGTTTTGTTGGTGGAATGTGCAGGCTATGTGGGAGCCTGAGGGAGGAATTTCTAATTCTGCTAAGGGTCACGTGGAGGGCATCACAAGGGAGATGATGTTTAGATGAGTTTTGAAAGAGTTTGCAAAGAAAAAGAAGGGAATGTGGGAAAGAATTTCTGGAAGATAAACAATATTCAAGGGCAAGATTATTTCTCAAAAAAGTGACAGAAAACCAGCTCAAAAAAGATTCGGCAATAAAGAACAAAAATGTGGAAGAAATTAATTATGTTAGTTAGCTGAGAAGTTCAGCATCGATCTTCCTTCAGGTATGGTGTACTCCAGGTATTTAAAGGGCATCATCAAGCCAGAGAAGCTCTATAAGCTGCTTCCTCTTTCTGCTCTTGCCCGCAGGCAGCCTATTCCCTCCTGATCACAATGTATCCACCAGCTGCTCCTTAGTTACATCATCCTGACAGCTACGCTATGCCAGAGAAAGCTTGGCTTTTCCTTCCCAATAGCCTGGCCAAGAATCTCACACTGTATCTCACTGGCTAGGTCCAGTTCACTTGTTCACATCTAGAGTGCTAGGTTAGCTGGAGGAAGGCCTGAGAATGGGGGAGAATGAATCTCAAAGGAAAATCAGAGTCCGGTGTCCAGAGGACGAGTGGCTGTACACTGGGGAGGCAAGCCATCAGGTCTGGAAGCAATGGCAGATCAAGAGTACATCTCATGTGATATGGAGGAGTGTGTACTAGTGGGTTGTACACTAGACCTGAGCAGAAGACAATAGCTCCAGTTTCATAGAGCGCTAAAAACTGAGCAAGAAGAAGCAGGCACTAAAGTTCAAGTCTTTTAGCACAACTTCATGTCTTTACTGAGGAGGAAATTAAGACTTAGGAAAAGAAAGTGACTCTCTTTTCTTGTAGTCACACAGCCTGAAAACCAGAGTCCGGAAGAAGCCCTGGTGCCCTGAGCCTTGGGACCCTCAGGCAGTGAGCAGTCTTCCTCTGTAGAGGTCCCGAAGGAGGATGTGTGCTTTTCTAGGAGCCCCTGGGGTCCCTCCCACGAGGGCAGAAGCCACAGCCTGCAGACTTAGATAGCCCTGGCCTCGGCATCCTGATGGCATGATAACAGACTCCTGGGCCCAAGGACCCAAGGACACCAAACCCTACTGTGAGCCATTAAGAGTGAGTAACCATTAAAGCAGAAAACAGGGAACAAGGAATGGTGGTGAAGGATGTATACAGCAGAGAGAAGAGGGGGGAGGGGAGGTGGTGGGCAAAAGAGTTCATTCAGGGACAGGGTTTCTAATCACTCAGTTTGTATATGTATTTTTAAGTTGTATTTTTAGTAATGTGATGCACCCATATGGTTAAAAATTAAATAATTCAGACAGCTTATTCTAAAAGGCACACTCCTCATTCTCATCTCCAGAGACCACTGTTTTTCTTCAGCCTTGGCTAGCATGTATTGAATACACTGGTTACAAGCCAATCCCTCTGCTAACCCTTGATGACACTGCTTCCTTGAGCTCACAAGGACGCCCTCGGGTAGGGACCATTACCACCTTCATTTTACAGATGGCGTAACTAAGGCATAGATTGGTTAAGTGGTCAGTCCATCTCACACAACTGAAGAGCAGCAGAAAGAAGACTGCAGCTCTGGATGCCTGACTCCAGAGCCTGGGGTGCGCTTAATCATCACACTCTGGTGGTTTCTGTTAAAGATTTATTACCTCTACTCCTTGATTTATTAACAATAGATATTATCTATTGGCTTCCTCATATGATTGATGAGGGTTTATCTCACTGACTCCCCCTGCGATCTGCCCACCGGTTCTAGACAGATACGTGGCAATATTTATTCCTGTTGTGGGTGCCTTTGGGATTTTAAATAATGCATTCAAGCCTCAATTCCATGCTTCTGCTCTACAAGCGATGGTTGGCTGCTTATGCAGTCACCTGTAAGGTGGATGGTGCAAAAGCCATCCCATATTTTCTTGTTATCCATCCCCCATCCACCATACCACCCAGCTCTGTGCCCAGCACACATCAGGTGTTTGGTGACTATTTAGACCACAGAACAAATGCAGAAAAACTCCATATGAAAGGTGGCAGAAAACTGGGAATCTGCGGCAGGTGAAAGGTACCGTAATCACAGCCTGTGATGTATGTCAGCCTGACTTCTTCAGAGACACAGCCTTGCCCAAAGGAGAAAAGAGGCAGCTATAAAATGGAAATTGAAGGAGAATCACTTCAGAGCAGCTGTCAGGAAGCACTTCCCCCAGTGGAGACAGCGGATGTGTGGAATGACCTCTCTACAAGGTTGTCTCAGCTCAGCGGCTGGGCTGGTCTTGCTGGCCTGCCAGGAAGCCACCAGGGAACCCACTCTACTCCATGAAGACGTCTGAGTAGCTCCCCTTGTGTAGGAGGTCTTCATCCTTCGTTTTCATCTCCATTCCTTGCTCCCTGTTACTCACTCTTAATGGTTACTCACTCTTACTGGCTCCAGGTAGGTTTGGTGTCCTTGAGTCCTCAGGCCCAGGATTCTGTTATGATGCTATCAGGATGCTGAGGCAAGTATCAGGCACGCAGCTGGGATATCTAAGACAGTGTGGCATCTAAGCCTGCAGGCTGTGGTACCTGCCCCTGATGAGGGATTCCCCAGGAAAGGCCCACAACCCCCTTTGGAATGTTCTGGTAGCAACAGATCCCAAGTAGGCTCTGGAAGCCATGTCAGGGACTCCTACCCAGGGAGGCTCCTCCTGTGGGCTGGCAGTCTAAGCCCACAACCTATGAAGAAAGAGTCAAGTGTCTGGGGATCTTATGGGCTCTGTGCCCTCTACCTGTGTTACCTACCACCAACTTGGCTCCCACTTGTTGAGGTAATTCTTCCTGTCTTGTGCCTCTTAGGCCAGGCAACATGATCTTGGGAATTTTCAACCCCTCTCCCTCACCAAGGTGGTCATATCCTTAATTACCTACTAAGCATTTACCCTTTATTAAACTTAGCACAATTGTTATTTTACATTCAATCCATCTCTACTCCTAAGAAGTTGGCCTCACCCATCAAACCGGAAGTTCCATGAAGACAGGACCCAGCTTTGGCTTGATCCACCCAGCACAGCAGCCAGCAAGCATCTTAAATGAATGAAGGCATGAATGAGTGAGTTTTGATGACAGTGTTTAGTTCAAGGTTTCATTTGCGTGAGGCTTAGTCTCCTCTAAGTATAGAATCTTCTTTCTATCTAGAAAAGAAGGGGAGCTTTCTGACCCTGAGGTCCAAGTCCAGTCTCATGACTCACCTTCTGAAAATGCAGTGACTGGCCTCCCTGACTTTGACTTACAGACTCCTGGGGACGTGTCCTGCCCCAGCACATGCTCTCTCCTCCCTGCCTCCTGTCTCATCCTCCTCTGTCAGCGTTACCAAGCCCTGCCTCTTCACCTCTACCTCAGTGGTCCTGAGCCCTACCTGCAGCTAGCTGTTCAAGCATACAAACATGTGAGTTTCCAAGTTGGGGCTTCCGATGGTTATCTGGGCAAGGAATTTAAAAAATTCCCCTAGTGATTCTGATGTGGGGCCTCTCCCCAAACTGATCTCAAAGATGTCTCCTGCCCTCTCAGCCTGCTTCCCTACTCCATTCATCCTCCACCTCTTCTCCCCGACCAGAGAAATCTCCTCCCTCTATCCTGGGGGGCTCCAGCCTTGGGCTTTAATCTATAGCCAGAACAGCCTTCCAGAATGATCATGCTAGAAGGAAAGTCTAAACTCTGCAGCTTAAAACTTCCCTATCTTTGGGAGAAACCCAAGATTCTCAGAGAGCTTCAAAATTTCCTGTTCACTTCAGGACCTTCCCGTGTGGTTCTGTGGGTACAATGGGAGCCATACTCAGATCCTTAAAGGACCCAGGCCTCTTTCTCTCCTTCCTCCAGGGCTCTGCACAACTACTCCTTTGTCCATTGCTATAAATAAATATATAAATATTTGGACATTTGTTAAAATGGAAAGGAAGACTTCTCAGGGCTGTTGCCAAAGGGGTACTGCAATAGGAAAGAAATATGAGATTCAACTGCCAATACCACAAAGATGGCCAAGGAGCAGAGGGAGGGGTCAGTGGACAGAAAAGAGAAGACTCAGGGTCAGGGGACCCCTGCAAGGGCAGGACATCGAAGAAGAGGGATGAGGAATTTGATCAGATAAAGAAGGTGACCAGATTTCAGGTGGGAGGGGAAACTTAGCAGGATTCTTTCTGCAGTGACTGGGCGAACTGAAGACAAGATGGTGTCTCACAGCAGAGGCCTACTAGTGAAGAGGACTCAGAGGAGCCTTACTAAAGAGACTTAGGGACCAAGGACATTTCACTGGGCTGCTCTGGGAGTCCTCTGATGCTCTTCCAGTCCATGGGCTCTTAGCATTCATCCCATCTTTTTGCAGTGCTCTGTGACTTACCTGCTCCCATGATTGGCTGGGAGCAATTTAAGGTCAGAGACCATATAGTGGCTCCTTCTTGGGTACCACCATGTGTGGTCCTCAGTATGGGTGTTGAATGAGCATAGGTTGATGAACATGGGTCTCATGGAATGGCTGCTCCTTTCTGAAGCAACCAGTGATTGCACTGCCTGTATCAGCAGTGACCAGAATTCACTGTGATCAGAATCATTGGGTGGGCCTGGTCACCACAGATAGCTGGGCTCCTCTTCCAGGTTCTGACTCAGTAGAGTGGACAGGGGCCTGAGAATGTGCCTGCCTAACCACAGTGATGTCCGTGTTCTTCTCAGATTGCACTATGGTAGTCATGGACTTACGGGATGATGGTAGACATCATCTTCAAGTGGCATGAGTTGTAATGTTTTTGTTTTGTTTTGTTTTGTTTTGTTTTTTACATTAAAAGATAGCAAGATTTAACAAGCAACTTGAAGGTAGTAAAGTAGCTATGACCTCCTGACTGGGTTCCCTTCTTCTCTGCCTACGTACCTGGTTCTCCTGCTCTCTGACTTGCAGGCTGGCACAAGGGCTGCAGACTTTACTTCCTTTTCCCTGCTTCGTTGGCAGTGGGAGGGGCTGCTTCCTAGCGCCCTCTGCCAGGTTTAATGCTAGCCTGAGAGCAATCACTGAATCCTGAGTACGCTCCCATTTCTGCTCTCACAATTAGCTGCTAGTGCAATAGATTCAGGGGGCAGCGGACAGCCACACAGGGGCATGGCTGCAGCATGCAGACCAACACCGAGCTCCCAGAAATGACTGTGTCCAGGCTGCAGTGGGCCAAGGTGTGGCTATTTGCAGGGGATGTGGACAGAGCTAGAATTTGCAGGGTGTGGCATTCACACAGCTTCATGTCAGCCTTTCAGGGTGTGATGCATAGTTGGGGGTGGAAAGAGAAGGGGGCCAGGGCAGGGGCCAGTTCTCTCTGTTTGGCAAGTTTCAGAGAGGAGCACTTGCTCCTCACCCTTCTGAGCCTTGAAGAAAGACTATTTGTCATGATAGGACAGGTATTATTTACCTGCTTTACAGTGTAATTTCTGACTGTTCATAGACAAGGTAGTTAGTCCTCAGATTATACTCGGCACAGGCTCTGCAAATGCTTGGGGTGGGCTTCACTGTCGGAGTAATCTGGAGAAGTGAACACCCTGGGAAAGCAAGACTGCTCCCACAGGGTCTTTGATGTCCCCAAGTTGAGAAGCACAACTTCGAGTACTCCTCAGGGGCACCAAGAGGGACTTCTCTATTTCCTGGAGGTAGAGACTAAGAACTAGTCCCAGTCAAATGACAGCGACTTTACACACCCTTTTTTGGTATAAAGAAAGAGGCTGGGACCTTGGGAAGTTCATGCTTAGGGTTCCCAGCCAGTTGTCAGGCAGTGGTCAGGGCATAGGGTAGAGAAAGCTTGGGTGGGTCACTTCCCAGGTGTATTTGTCTGGCCAACCCATACCAGTTCTCTGGTCTCAGTTTCCTCATTTGTTAAATAGAGATAATAGCAGCACCAACACCTCTAGCAAAGCCTCTAGTACTGATAGTACCGGCAGATATTTAGTAAATGATAACTGCTGTTTTTTTGGTCACTAGGCTAATTCATCCTGTCTAATGTGGCTTCTCCTAGTCAGCTCCACAAGCTCAACAAGTTGGACCAGTTTGTCTTCCAGTCACTGTCTGCCCTTTGGACATCCCTGCCTTGCTTGTGAGCATCCTTCTCACTGGTCACAGAACCCACCACTCTTATCTCGGGCTATCCTCCACTGACAGGGAGATTCCTGGCCCCCAACTCAGAGATTCAGATCCAGGTCAGTGTTGAGTTCAGGAATCCACATTTTGCTGAGATTCCCTCCGTCATTTTCATATAAGAGCCAAGTTCTGTCTTCTTTTCCCTCAGCCCCTTCTCTCAGGAGATGCTGCTGGTTTTTCACACTGTGTCACTGTGACCTCATCCCAGGGAGCTGCTTGTTTCAAGTGTTGTATGTGAGAATAGAAGCAATGCCTTTGTGTACCAGGAGAGGAAGTCACAACGGAGGAGAGCAGTTCGGACTGCCCTGCTCCATCCTGCCCAAGAAGGGCACCCTCATGCTCTGCAGAAGAAGCGGAGTCCTACTGCCAGTCTTTTGTACCCCCAACCCCTTTACACCCTGTAATTGATAAAAGCAGTCAGAAGCAAAGGATGCTATGGAGCAGTTTAAGACTGTGCTCCAGAGAGGACTCAGAGCTGCCATGTCTTCCAGTAACTGTGCCCAATGCCGCGTGTAATCACCGCCATGTGTCTCTGTCAGGAGCTCCAGCATGCTTCAGTGAGGTCCCTGGAGACTCCCCCGTCAGGACCCTCTGGGCTAGAGACAAATGGACAAGTTAGGACAGTGATAAATCATGCTGTCCTTCCATCAGGGGCCCCCTGCGGCAACCAGCTCAGGAGGGGAGGAGGGGCGAGGACTGGCGTGTGCGTGGCTGCTCCCCAAGAACAGCTCTTGAATACCCGGTGGCTTGTTTCATGTGGATGCACTTATGTCATTTGTTAAGGACCTCAGAAAGTACTTCGAGGGGAAAAGGAAGTTAATATTTTTAGCCTGTTCATTTCCCCACCAACGGGCACATCCGACATCTGAGGCTTCTCTGTGCCTAGGCTTTCTTCCCTGTGTATCTTCTCATCTGTGTCCTGGTGGCCGGTAGGCAGCATCCCCCTCCAGCCTGACCCTACAGCTGCCCTTGGTGACCGGACTTCTCTGAGCGTTTCTTCCTCAGATTAACACCTCCTCCATCTAAGAGCACGGATTCTGTTTCTTCAGACACCTGCCATCTTTGTGCTCCAAATAACTCTTAAGAATGGTGGCTGCGTGCTGAGTGCCTACCATGTGCAGGACCCAATGCTGAGCCACCTGCATAGCTTCCAACATTCATAATACATGTAATGGGATTACTTCCCCTCTGCAGGTGATAGAAGGAAGGCACAGGTTGCTATGTGACTTACCCAGGTCTTTGCAACCTTAACATCCACCATTGTTTGGGTTGGTTGAGAAAAACTGTGAGTGTAAACTGTAGATCAGATCTTTTGAGTGTGAAGACTGGCTCTTATTAGGGCTACTGTAACTTCTCTGAGTCCTAGTTTTGCCTCGCTTTAGAAATAGTACTACCTTTTTGTTTGTAGTTATCAATAATAGTTTCCCAAATATGTCCACACTTAATCTCTACAAACTGTGAATATGTGCCCCTATAAAAAAATCAAGGATGTGACTAGGTTATGGGTCTTGAGGTAGGGAGAGTAGCCTTTATTACCCGAGTGGGCTAAACATAATCACAGAGGTTCCTATAAGAAGGCAGGAGTGTCAGAGAGAGATTTGAGGGTGCCATATCATGGCTGGCTTTGAAGATGGGACAAGAGACTGTGAACCAAGGAGTAAGAACAGCCTCCAGAAGGTGGAAAAGACAAGGAAACAGATTTTGCCCTGGAGTCGCCTAGAGAATGCAGTCCTGCAGATACCTTGCTTTTTAGTCCAACAAGATCCATTTTGGATTTCTGACTTCCAGAGATATAAGTGGTGATGTTTAAGCCACTAAGTTTGTGAATGTCTACATAGCAGCGAGAGGAAAACAATCGAGTATTATTGTGAGTTTTTTCTTTTAAACCAGTAAAATGCTGGGCTCATTGGGTTGTTTATACGAAAGCCTACTAGAAATGCTGCCCTCTGGTTTTCCTGTACGCTTTGTAATGTCCTACATGTGTTTGTATTCTACACATAACCTGTCATAGCACTTGACACACACAGGTGCTGTCATTATTTAAAGGATGAATGATGATTTCACTCACTGAAAGAAAAGAGTGATACTCCCTGGTAATGGTGGTGAGAACCAGAGTTAATAATCATATGGAGTGCAAGCAGTAACTGTAACAGTCCCTGAAGTGGCCCCAAATGTCACTCTAGGTCAGGCATTCATGCCTTTCTTTAATACACTGATAGTTTTCTGCATGGAATGACACATTTAGTAATAAACAGTCTTGACCTGGGATTCTATAAGTGTGCCCTGCCACAGCCAAGCAGAGTCCAAGGCCTCCCTCCTCCCCCACAAGTGTTTCTTGGTGCTCTTGGTTGCAGGTGGTAAATAACCATTTGAAATGCGTTCCCAAAAATAGGTAGGGGGGGAGGGAGGAAGGAAAACAATACAAACAATAACCAACAATTTAAAACAGCAAGTAGAATGTATTGGCTAGCACAGCTGTCAAAATGCACACCACCACAGGAGCAGTAGGTCTGTCTCTGGGTACTGTTGGATGTCTGCAGGATTTGTTCTTGCCACCACCCCAGATTGGTTTCATTTTCAGTTAGGCTCCGCCCATGGGGTAGACCTCAAAAACCCACGCTCACGTATTTTCAGCTCAGTCACTGCTCTGGAAAGAGGGACAGTCCTGAGGGAAGTCTTGGGATGGATTCCGATTGCTCAAACCTGAATCAGTGCCCTGAGCCAGAGAGCTGGGACACTGCTGGGTAGACGTGGGCCATGTGCAGACTCCTGAGTTGAGACAGTCTCACTGTGGCCACGTGGACTGTGAGTTGGAGAAGGGTGATCTTCAAAGGGACATGGAGGGGTTGTAGTTAGAGAATGAGAAGAAAACTTGGGCAGGCGAAGACTACCGCGTTTTCATCCCCAAGATGGCTTAGAGAATTTGAAATGGAAACAAGACTGCTAACATGAGAAACCACAATGTCAGCATCGGGAGGTTCCGAGGCTGACTACCCGGGGCCCTCTCCACCGTCTCCAGCCAGGGTCTGTCTGGCTTCCACATGGGCTCCCGCAGGTACAAACCACTCCTCTTTTAAAAATAGCCCTGACCATTATAAACACTTATTTCTGTTTGTAACCCAATTTGTCTTCTTCCTGTAGCTTCTTGGCACTTGTCCTTAGGGTCATAGAGAACAAGTCCAACTTTGGACTGGTCCAGAATGGAAGAGAAGAAGAACCGGGAATCAGAACCTGGTTCTGAGGTCCGGCTTCTGCCAGGACAGAGAGGAAAACGAGACCAGATGCCAACATAAATATAAAAGTGTGCTGTGTTTCATCGATCCTATTAGTAATAATTATAATTATGTGCCAGACAGTGTCCTATTGATATTATTTTATTCTTACAATAAATACTTGAGATAAATAAAATATTATTATTCACGTATGCAGATGTGAAGATTGATCCACCAGAGCTGACGCCACACGTCCCAGGTTACACAGCTCATTTCAGTGCACAAGGGCACTGGAGCCCAGCCAGACTGGTTCTCTGGCTTGCGTCCTGATGTACTCCAGCCCCTGCAGAAAAGCACTGCTTTACACTTCAGCCTCAAGACTGCTGAGTCGGCAGGTATCTTGGATTCTTCACCCTTTTCTGAGGTTGCTGAGTGGCTTTTGCTTCCCTGCTTCCTTTGTGGAACTGGGAGAACCACAGAACGTGCCCATAATTGCCAAGGATTGTCCTTCTTGAGGAGCACATTCCCCAAACATTCCTTCCTCCTTCCCTGGTCTAGAGATGAAATAACCTACAGGCATCTCTCCAGACAGAAAGGAAAACGAAGGAGAAGGCAGTGCATATGACTTAGAAGAACACAAAAACCACCGGGCTCGGTGTACTCAGGCTGGAAAGCAGATTCCAGGAACAATGTGTCTGTCTGCTTCACTAATTATTGTGCAAGTGCTCGGCATTTTATTCGACTCCGAAACTCATAAAGGAGCTGCAAAGAGACAGGTCCTCTGGAGACTGTTTTATCAAAGGAGACTTGAGAAGAAATAAAGTTTCAAGATAAAACTGAGTTCCTAATGGAATCAGCACAAATTTTTAAAAAAAATTCTTAGAAGGGGTTTGTGAAACCGCACGAAAACATTTTGGTTATGCAGAATGAAAGAGTGCAGAGGCGGAGACCCAGACACCGGGCAGGGCATCTCTGCGCTGTCGCTGATAGCTGTGATTGGAGAGATGAAGTTGTTGGAATCACAAACCCCCAGCTTGGAGAAAAACATGGAACTTCTGTTCTATTCTTTTCATTTACTTAACTCATTTACCTTGAATTCGACTTACCTGTTTATTCACTTTCCAGTAAATAATGATCAGTCACCTACGCCGCATTAGCCACTGCACTGCACACTGCGGGTGCAATAGAACACATGGCGTGGTCCCTCCTCCCCCTCTGCGCTCGAGCCCCGTGTTTTCAAGCCCCCTGTTTTCGACTTACCAGCAACTGTCTATTCCTGCTGGCTCCCCAGCCCCAGGCTCCACTTTATATTCCCATAAAATAATTCGGAGCCTGCCTGGGTACTCAGCCCACTTGCACTGAGAAGTGAGTTGATTTGGGAAGCTCGATTCTAGACCTTTTTCTGCCTCCTATTCTCCACATGATCCTGGAAAAGAAAACCGCATGCAGGCATGGGAGGCCCTGTGCTCAGGAAAGACTCTCCCCGTCTCACTGCCCAACCTCCATAATGTGTTTCTAGCTTGTACTCGAAAACTGTGTGTCCGTGAGCAAGATCCGAGCAAGATCCTTAATCACTCTGTTCCTTAGTTTCCTAAAACACCATAATGGAAGTTTTCATCAAGAAAAATATATAGGTGACATACTCAGTATAGTGTCAAGTATATAATAAGCACTATTACAGAGAGCTGTGGGGCATTTTTCGTAGTATTGATCACTCCCATTGCTATATATTTAAGTGGGTATTACATTTATGTCTGCCTCCCCACACTGGTTTATAAACTCCATAAGAGCTGTCGCACCTGTTGCTGTATTCCCAGCACCCACGTCAACGGCTGGCGTATAATAGGAGCTCAATCACTGTTTGTTTAATGAGTTAATGAATGAATGAGTCGCCTCCCCCACCCATGTCAGAAGAATCTGAAGGGATGCCAGAGCATCTGTTCCCCGAGGTTTTTTCAAACGAGCTCCAACAGCTGTTTGTGCTAGAAGCCACCATAAAAAGCATCCTTAAAAGCAAAAGGGAAAGAACAGCAGTAACAGAGAGATCTATGGCCCAGCTGGGATCCTGGATGTATGGCTGCAGCAAAACTCAGGGGAGGCCAAGGGGAAAGACAGGCAGGTAGATGTACGGGCTGCAGAAAGGGAGACAGGCGTGGTTTTAAATCAGAGGCAGAGAGAGCTGCTGAGCGAGAGAGACCCTCAGAAAGGCGGAGACAGACAGCGAGGGACTGTCTGTGGTTGACAAAGACAAAGATGAAGCCAGAGAGAGAAAGGAGGGAAGACAAGTGTTTGAACTGGCAGCTAATTCCCCAAATCCTTGAGGGTTTTTCAGAGATAGAGAGTAATGTGGGCTTCAGCCTTGGCTGCCTGATTGATGACCAGTGAGCCCTGAGCCACCACTGAGCTAAGCACGTTAGGCGGCTGTGTGGCCTGGGACTTCTCAAAGTCCTGCTGGAGGCTTCCCCAGGGTGGATCACTGCGTGGAGAGGCGCATTGCACCGACAGGATGGAACGGCTCTCAGTTAGGGAAATCTTGGGGTGGAGGGCCCACACCTGGGTGATTACGCTCTGTTTCAGCTGGGAGCCACACAGAAGTTTTAACTCAACACGACGTTGGCTGGTCTTTCTTCCTTCCCCCTTTCCCTCCCTTCTGCATTTCCTCCCTTTTTTTCTCTCCTCTCTGATTTATTAAGCATGCAGAATGTATAAGCAACCAGGGCTGCAGAGATTAAATAAGACATGATTCTTAAGTTTTAAAGAGCACTCAGTGGCTCAGTGAAAAGGGGAGAAAAGCAGCCAACAGAACAGTAAGAGGAAAGGTGCGACATCATTTATACAAACTAAAGTTTTATTTTTATTTGTTCACCATACGTTCATTGAAAGGGTACTTAGAAAAACAAAATAGATTAGACAGAAATAATATAAATTTGTGACGGGGTTTGCTGGGGATGAGGTAGACAAGAAATGAAACCTGAAATAATGAGACGCAAGGGAATTTCATATTTTGATGTGCAATGTGTTGCTTATTTTATTAAAAAACGAGGAAAAGAAGTCTGACGATGTTTTTGAATGATCATTTTTGGACAGTAGATGCTGTTCTTTAAGATTTCTCAGAATTAGAAAAAAAAAGCCTCAAGAAATCGAGCAATTGTTATTCAGCTGGACAAGCTGCTTTTATTCTTCTCTTCCACATTAATCCCAGAAGATGGAAGGGGTGGCGATGATCAGAATGGCACCGAATCTCAGTCTCTGTCTCGTCTCCCTGTCCAGCTGTCCTCCGGGTCATATTTTGGGTAGCAAATTATCTGTGACTGTACCAAATCAGCTGCTCCATGCTAAGTAAGATAAAATAAGGCTCGTTCCATGAAATATTTTCACCTTTTAGGAACCTCCAGGCATTAGGAACCTGGGCAATTTAGACATAAATGGGATGAGAACTGAGAACCAATGTGGAAAGGAAGCTTTGGGTACTCTCTTTTAAACACTCTTATGGTAGGCAGATAAAATACTGAAATACAATATACTATATGTTATATAATGCCTGGCTCTTTGGAGCCAGATGGACCAGTGATAGGGGCTCCTTGGATGATCTTGGGAAAATGACTAAATCTCTCTGGGCTTTGGTTTCCTCATCTGTAAAATGAGAACAATAATACTTCCCAGGGTAGTTGTGAGGTTTAAATGAGCTGGTAGAAATCAAGTGAACAAAAAGATCAGCTCAGCATCCAGCAAAGTATATTCACAGCACTGCTTAGTCTCCTTCCTCCCAGGGCTAAGATTTCCTCAGCTGGGCTGTAATTCTGGTACATGTACTAAGCAGCCCTAGTCACCGGGATTTCCTGTCTTAAAAATGATGCCCCATGGAGAAAGCAGCAGGTTAAGTGGTAAATATGGTGCATCCATTTACTTGATATATTAGTAGCTTTCTTATCACTGGGACAACATACCTGCCACCCACAACATGGACCTGGAGCACGAAACTAATTGTCATCAAGGCACATAAATGTGGGTCTGCCGGATCCATGGTTAGTCTTCAGAATATTTCCATTAATTAATTATTAATAATAATTTTATGAGTTTTAGTACACTAAACATGAGTACTTAACAGGAAAAAAATCACAAAAATGAAAGCGTTTTTAATTTTTATTTATTTAAAAAAGCATCAACATTTTCAGCATCTACTGATTTTTGGTATATAAAGTGTAAAAAAGAATATCAGAAATAAATCCCTGTATGAACTATAATGAAAATGCCAATAGCACTCTACAAAAAAATAATAATCTTTACTGTAACTATCACACCTAAGGCAGGCTGCACACATAACAACCGTACATTCCATATGTCCACATCGCTTAGACTCACAGCGCATGGCTTTTGCTTTTCTGACCTTTTTACAGGACATACTTGACATCTCAGGGTCTTGCCATGTTGTAGGAGGTTCTTATTATGTTGCATGGTTAACAGAAACATAAAATATCAGCAAAGTAAATTATTAAATTCTTAATATGTAATGTGCATTTAGAATAGGCATCAACATTTTCCACATCAGCTGTGTACTTCCTTAAAAAGCCTAAAAGATAACATCGGAAATGCATTCCTATATGAACTCCAGTGAAAATCCTGATAGAACTGTACTGAGCAAATAAGCTCTGCTTCAACACCCAAGACAGTCTTCACACATGACAACCGCATGTTCCATGCACAAGCATGGCTTACACTAGAGCACGTATGTTTTGTTTTCCTATGTTTTCTTGTAGGGCACAGTTGACATCATTTTGGTTTTCCTGCTATCATAGTAGGTCTTTGGGATGCTGCTGTGCCTGCCTGTTCACCTGTCAGCTCATCAGTGTGCTCTATGTTTTGTGTTTACCTAGTTTCCTAGGCAGAAACATTTTGTTTTTCCTCTGCTGTACATGATTTCTTATGAGCTCCAGTCCCAATCCTCTAAGAACATTTCTCTGTCATAGTTTGCACTTAGTTTCTTTGCAAACTATCAAACTATTTATGCCACACGTGTTTAGGAACAAGTAAAACACAACCACTGGCCAGTGCTTTGTAGCACAGCTGTTTTGTGGCTCATCAACAGTATCTGCTCCATGTTTGGTTTCGTTGTTGAAAGTTTCTGTCTTAGGCTTCTGTTTTGTTAGGGTTTCCCTATCAATATTTCCATCATGGTGAAATGTTGACATCAGCAGTACCAGTTTGCCTTTCTTTGCCATATAAGAGGCCAATGGTATATATTTTGGCAACTCAAGGATTGTGTACATTCAATTCAATTCAAAGATATTTATATTTTTGAGACAGGATCTTGCTATGTAGTTCAGACTGACCTGTAACCCAGGCTGGTCTTGGACTCATGATACTCTTCCTGTCTCAGCCTTCTAAGTACTAGAAGTACTTAGTACATATGTCACCATGTCTGGCTTCTGTTTTGTAATTGTAGTGTTCATGTGGAATTTCTGCTTTGTTCCTAGGTACACTTCCTGTACTGGTCAACTTGTGCTCTATTAGCAAATGTAACATCGATTAGAAACTGTAAACCAATTGCTGAATGCCACATTCTGATTAGTTTGGGAGATGGGAGCAACAAGCCTGCTCACAGTATCATTTGGTTATTACTGTATGATAAAGAACCTGATGGCTGAGTTCCAGGAAAAAAGTCAAAATTGAGATAATATGTCTTCTTATCAACAAGGACATGCATTTTTATGCCATATTTTGACCCATCACTTTTCCATAAGTCTTTTATATTCCTGTGATCACCATGAGAAATCTATACCAAGTACAGCCCAATGAGTGTTTTCCATTCAGCTAGTGAGGGATCATAATAAATACATTTTTAAATATGGCTATTGGTGTATACAGAAAGTTGTACTTGCATTTCAGCCTTTGTGTATTTCACAGCACCTTGTAGCATTTCATCTGTGATTTCCAACACTGAATGGCAGTACTGGCCGTCTGTACAATACATTCCACTGTATTTGTGAACCTAGCTCTCACACTGGATCCTTCCATTTGCTTGTATGGCCATTTCCAACACTTTGACCAGTGAAATATGTACTCACATTGCTGTTTTCTTCCCTCTCTGCATGAAGGAGGTCTGCATTCCTTGTGTCTGTATCAGTCAATTCTTGCTCCATTTCACTGTCACAGGAACTTTGGCTCACATGGCCAACATCAAAGTTATCATCATCATCACCACTCTTCTGTTATGAAAGCTTGTATTTTACCATAATGGATCATCTTCATCATCCATGCATGAGCAATCTGATGATTCACCTTTGACCTTCTCCAAAACTTGAAAATATGGTTTTTCATGTGCCACTGTACTGAACTGGCTACTTCTACTAGAAAAATCAAAAGAAAACTGTTTTTTTTTTTTTAAAGAAATTCTGGAGTGGTATGGGTCTATTCTTTTGTGATGTTTGGGTAAATGTACGCAAAACCACTTAGATGGAAGATAAAGACAGGACCAAATCCCATTTTGACACATTTGCATATGCACACTCCTTGCTATTCATTATACCAAGTAGGTAACACATAGATTGCTTTCTGTATCCCTTGGAGAAAGGTACAGAGATGCATAGCTGGCTACTGTAATGCTGAAGTACAAATTTACAGTAGAAAAGTAAAAGATGATTCAGCTGGACCCATGCTAATGCCTTGAGTTAAAGGAGGAGGGTGTTTTCTGGCTCATGATTTCAAGGGGCTCAGTCCATAGTAAGATGGTTCCAAGATAAGATTGACATAGCAGGAGGGCCTGGCCAGGAAGGGGAGAAAAAGAAAGACAGAGACAGAGAGACAGAGACAGAGACAGAGGTAGACAGAGAGAGAGCTATTCCTTCTAAAGGCACATCCCTAGTGACCATTTCTTCCACTCAAGTTTCCACTCAAGATCACCAATGCATCTGTCCATGGGTGAACATAAGGCTTTCCAAAAGTCCCACTTCTTACCACGTGAGATTTTGGGGGAACATTTTAGATCAAGACCATAACACTGGGCCTAAGTCTAGGAGGAGGCGAGAGTCCCAGGAGTGTTGCACTCAGAATTGGCAGAGACATCAACAATTCACAGGCCACTTGGTTCCCAAAGCTGACCCCCAAATGCTGGGAAAAATCATTCGGATTTTGGAGTACAAGATTGTGGTGCAGGAATCTCTTCTTCTGTGAAATCTGTCTCCCCAAATGCTAATCATAATAATGCCTGCCATTTTTCATCCATCAGACGGTAGAAAGGGTGAGAGAAAATGTGTGCTCTTAATCCCTGATGGTGGGTGCAGCCACATTAGGATGCAATTGAAATTGTATAAACTCTATTGCTTTGGGGAGATCTATCGTGTGAAACTGCACAAAGAGGATGTTTGTTGCAGGACTGTTTGAAACAGTGTAAGGTGAGGAGCAAACTGGAGTACAAAGGAATATCACAGTAAACTGTGATATGCCTGGATCTTGCAATATTGCAAGAACAAGGTAAATCTCTAAATAGCAATTCAAGAAGAGCTCCAAGAATTATTGTGTTCTCCAAAGAAATTGCAATATAATACAATACAATGTGGCTTTTATGTAAAAACAATAATAACAGACAAAGCTATGCATATTTTATGGGTACTGTTGTACCTATAAATGCACAATGATCTGGAAAGATACACATTAATCTGATAACTGGTTGGACTGAAGAATAGTGGGAAAGAATATTTTAACTTTCTATACAGCCTTCTGAGGTACAATTAAGATACAATATAGTGCACATATTTAAAGTGCACAATATAATCGTGATATATACCTGTGAAAACACCATTATAATCAAAATACTGGTTATCTACAAAAGTCTCCTCATGTGACCGAATTTTGTCCAATGAAATATAGGAGTAAAATTGTGGGGAAACATCTAAAGGAAAACCCCAGATCCTTGCTCTTATATAGAGACACAGAGAAAGAAAAGACCTCTTCTTGTGCTGGGTATTGTTTCCATGAGTGGTTCTTGGTACAATGTCAATCATCTTAGATACAGGGGAAAACAGTTAGTGTTGGAACAAAACCAACACATGTGAAGCCTTCAATGACTTTGATGAGCCACTGATTAACTCTAGAATCATCCTACTCTGTGAACAGCATCACTTGGAGTAAGGAAGCAGCATGGTCATTTATTATTTTGTTCATGTAAGGAAGTGAGATCTTTGATCCAGAGGTGGTATCTGGGTTACTCTTGGACAATCTAATACCCAACTGTCCCATCAGCAAAGTGAGTATAGTGGTTCCTTCCCTCTCTCCCTGTGGGGTTATCATGAGAATGGATTATGACCAGAGGTGAAGTAGAAAGGGCTGTAAAAATCAAACATCCAGCACAAACGTTCATGTCTACTATGCATCTTCTGTCTTCCAGGCAAATCTATTGAACCATATCCCCTGGTGTCTATGAGGAACCCGTATGTACAATTTACAAGATGTGGATACAAGAAAGTAAAAAAAAAAAGTCAGAAACCCTGGATGCATATCAATGAAGCTCCTTTCCACAGTTGAGCGTGTGTGTAAGTGTTCACAAGGGTAGAAATGTAATCAGAGGACTGGGGATACGGTCAGTAATTGAATGCTTGCCTAGAATGCACAAAGCCATGGGTTCAATCCTTAGCACTACACACACCATGCACACACTCACACACACGCACACACACATGAAATGTAATCAGTATGTGAGAGACAAGTGTGACTACCTATTGTGTGTCCATGTTTGCATGTGTGCAGGTAGCAGTGTGTGTCCAAAGTACAGAGCCAGCCACACCTGAGTGTCTCAGTTCTGTGGCCCCACAGCTCTGCAATCTTGTAGAAGTGCTTCAAAGATCTTCAAGCCTCAGGTGCTTCACAGCTAGAATGGGACTACAATGACCAGCTATATACTTGAAAGTTGAACTTCAAAGTGCTCTGAGATGTATATGAATGCAACTAGGAATGCTGTGTGTATAGTCAAATGTGTGTGTGTGTGTGTGTGTGTGTGGTGATCATGAATAATGTCTGTGTAGAAGGTGGGCATGTGATGGTGTGTTTATATATTTGGGGTTATGTTACAGAAAACCAAACTGACTGGAAGACT